ATATATAAACTTAAAATTAGCCCCGATTAACTTCCTTATTTTCGATAAAATTTAAGCTCAATGTAAACAAGTGTTTTTTTTTTTAGAACATTATATGAAAGCAGGTACTGACAGCTTTCAAGAATTATAAATGATTTGTTTCTTGCATTCTTAAATAATAAATTTTAAGAAGAGTGAAATTAAATATAGAGGAACAAAGCAGCAAAAGCTTTGAAGCACACAAGAGGAAAGGAAGGCTATGAGCATATCATTCTAGGCAACACAAGATTACAATTGCATTCGCTTTAACATATATCCTTTATCAGTTTAAAATGCTTTTCGTTCAGTCATTTAAAATAGAATTATTGCTTTATAATTCCTTGCAAAATCTATACATATAAACATGGGCAGATCTAGTAAGGAACAAAGCAGTTCAAACGAAAAATTATGCATACTCACATGTTATTAAATCCCTTTGACACAAGTAATGTTTCAAGAGTAATGGTTAAGGAGGTTCATCACATTAATTAAAATCCTGGATCCGCCTCTTGCATATAAAACAAAGGTACCCCATCGGATGGCAGACAGTTGCTATCCTCAAACTATAGTACTGCAAATTACTAAAACAAAATTCATATGATAAATTATCCACAGGTACAACTGTTTCACCCAGGGAAAAACTGAGGAAAATAAAAAAATAACTACTCAATGAGATGAAGAATGACTTATCCACAATCTTATGAAGATCACTCTCCTGAAAGTAATATGTTTCAAAATTTTAGACCTTTAAAGTAACTCCATTGTCATCAATATTGGCACACAGTCACACACTCCAATCTCAACACATTTCTACCTGCTAGCACTTTGTCATCTCCTAGAGTGTACGCAGACCTTACCCCTACCATGAGGTAGAGAAGCTATTTCCAATAGACCCTCGGCATCCTTTCCCTCCAAAAACTCCCCACCTTGCTCTTGGGGTGACTCGAACTCACAACCTCTTGGTTGGAAGTGGAGGTTGCTTACCATCAGAGCAACCCCTCTTGTCAACAACTCTAAGTTTAAATATTCGACATATCTTAACCATAGTATGTTACCGAATTGAACTTCGACGTAAATGCAGGATGACCCGTTTCTATTGCTGCATCGTAGGCACGGTTGGATCGTTTTTCAGCAGGGACTTCACTCTCAGCATCGAAGTTTTTCATATGTGGAATACATCTTTCACTATCAACATGGGAAGATTGGTTTTTCAACAAATACCTACGCCTTAGCTTTAAAAATCTGAAATTTAACAAGTATAATATTAGGGTATTACTCTTTCTTTCTTTTCTTTTTTTGTCAATTACATCATTTTAAGAGAAAAGCAAAGTACTACCTACAATAGGCAATACTGATTAAGTTAGTTGTTGTATATGCATATAAGTGTGAAACTTAAAGAATATCTAGTTTTTGAAAACCCCTTATTTGTCTAAACGATGAAATATAGCGTATGAGAATGAAATGGACCGAAGCAGAACGGAATGGTTATAAATGATTCATATAGCACACCAGAACCAGTTTGCGATTGAGGTGTAGTAGTTATTGTTTTCCTTCACCTATAAGAAAACGACACACAGATAAGGGAAATAACTATTCTATCAGATAGAGAAAATTATGATCATACAGGATTTCACCCAAAATGATATCTCTCCTCTGCTTTGCAGCCTGCAACTTCCTCTTCTTGGAGACAAATTCCTAGACACGAATTGCCAGACCATGATCACACAATTAACATCCAAAAATATCATTCTGAAATACACAATTTCATCTTAAAATATAGTATATAACCACAGGAAACCAAAAAGAGCAATTCTTTATAAATCCCAATAAACATTGAACAACACTTAACAGCTTGTTTGGATGGTTGTTACAAATCATTTTATAATGTATCGTATCGTATTGTATTATATTATACTGTATCGTTTGATAAATACAATGTTTGAATAAATTGTGTCGTTTGCCGTCGTTTCATGATATCACGCACCAGCAATATGAAGAATAAATTTGCAATATTGTAAAGAAAAATTATGATACAGAGTAAAATTACTATATAAAAAGGTAGTATAAATGATAAAATATAATTATTTAACAATAATTCAAGGGTGAGATTGAGAGAAAAAGACAAAGTAACGACGCGACCACACCAAATCGGGCGTTATATAATACATAACGACAGAATTAACCATACGATACAATAAAATTGAAGTAACAATCAAAACAAACATCGTATTTAAAGTAACAATACGATACAACAAGTAACAACCATCCAAACATGATGTAAAAGTATAACCAAAAACAAAACAATAAAATGCCAAACTCAGATTACACATGTCTACAATGGTAATTAGCACAAACAAGGAACTAGTGGAAACAAAAAGACAGTCTTTTTTTATGATGGTGGTGTCCTAGTCAATTTGTGCGCATCTCAGCTATTTTACCGAGCAACCGCTACACTTTGCCCACTAGGCTTAGGCATATAGAAAGAAATCATCTAGTCAAACTAATTAGAATTTATTTATAAAAATCCAGAAAGTGCAAACCTTTTGCAGTTCCAAGAACTCATTTAACAGATGTTTCTGCTTGAGCTTTGCCTTGGCTACTTCATCAGCAGTATTTAGTTGATTGAAACCCTCTATAGACCTTTTCATCTCTATTCAGTAGCACATACCCACCAATGAAAACAGCCAAGAAATTTCAAGAAAACGCATAACCACATCAAAAAATTAAATCTTTAAGGTTTTCCATATATATACACACTGTTATTAACATGCTGAGGCTAGAGAAAAAATTGGTCCGTTTTATTAAGAGGGATAAAAAAGGAGAGAATGTGGAAAGCCAGAAGGGATATTGAGATATATTTTTGAGGCTCTGAATATAGGAAAAAGAAATTAAATAAAACCCCATATTGTGTGTGGGTGTGGTTGGAGGACATTAGAGGACATCTTGGTTTTCTCCCTCTCCTTTCCATATTCGTATTTGTCTTTCTTTCTTCTTCCCCTTTTGGGTTTTTTTATACCGGACCAAATTTGTTCACAATTTTAGTCGTGACGGGCTAGCTAGGGGCGTCCAAAGAAAATCGACAAACAACACCAAATTGATAATTCGAGTTAAATTGAGAAAAAATAAATTGATTATGATTTGGTGTTGGAAAGAAAAATCAGACCAAAATTGGTGTGGTTTTGCTTTAATTAAAAAAAGTAATGTAGTGTAGTGTATAAATATTTCTTAAATTTTTTCATAATTTTATCTTTAACGTATTATTTCAAGTTTGGACTTATAATTTTTGAATGCTCCAATAAGTTGTATAGTCCATCAATATTAGTAACTCAAATAAATTCCATACCAAAATCAAATCAATATCAATACTAACAAAAGATATTCAATTCAATTGTACTAGGATTGACAATAATGTTGGATATTTTTTTTTTAGTTTTTTTATGGTTTAGATCAAATGCATAACTTATTTTTTTTTAGTGTTTAGTCATGTCAATAATAGTACTTATTAGTCGTACTTATTTTAACAACTTAGTAATTTTAGATTAAGTTTATTTTCATTATGTCTTATTAATAATATTTATTTTATGTGATTTTATTATCTTTATTGTTAAATATTTTAGTACAATGTTATGGCTCATCTCATATTTTATGTTATTTTCTTGAAAAACATCTTATATAGTTATGTGTTACTAGGATTAAAGAAATATTTGGAACACAAATTCTATGCTTGTGCTATGAAAACTTTATGAAAAAAAAAACCAAAAAATTCGAAAATCTGAAAAACATCGTGATTAAAAAATCCGACTTTATTGGTTTAATTTGGTCTTTAGATTTAATAACCCGACATAATTGATTTATTTTGGTAATTAAAAAATTCGAACCAACCAGGCCTATGTACACCCCTATTTGCTACTATTCGTTAACCTTTGCCTATATAGTTCAATCATTCACAAGTTTAGTTGTGACAAGCTGAACTTGTTATCATATTCATTATACCTATTTTATTAAATTATTTATAAGTTTAGCAAGAGGAGCTAATCTTGCCTGTATTATCTGTAAGTTTAGCTGTAACGGGTTAAATTTGTTACTGTATTTATTTTACCTATCTTGTTAGATTGTCAACAATTTAACTAAGCCAAACACTTTATAAAAGGGTGATGTGAACTAAAACCTAAGAAAGATAAAAACTAAACTTAAAAAGTGAATAAAGTGATCAATGGAATTTTCGCCGGAAACAAAGGAATACGAAAAATACGGAATTAATTAGTGTCGAGTCTAATCAATGGATTTGATTGACTCCTACTAGTTAATCACAAGTCTAAGTCACTAGACTTGAAAATTTTTAGGGATGACAAATGTGTGGTAGGGCAGGGGAGTATCTAAATGGCGGAGTCCAGAACCCAGGTTCTTTTTGACAAAAAGAACGAAAATGCGTGGAAAAAAAAAGCTACCTAATTCTATATAACGCTCTTTTAAAGAGCGTTATACCTTAACGGACATTTTGGACGTTAAGGTATAGCGCTCTTTAAAAGAGCGTTATACATATAACGTCTTTAGAAAGAGCGCTATATATGTATAGCGCAGTTATAAAGAGTGCTATACATGTTTTGTGGGCCCACCAATAAGTCTCGTGCGTTTAAGTGGCATAACAATAATTCAAATGTGTATAGCGCCCTTTAAAAGAGCGCTATACCTAAAAAAAAATTCAGCCCCCTGAGCTACGCATTGCCTTATTTAAAGGCGTTAGGATTTTACAAAAATCCATTCAAAAATATTCCTAACTCCCGTTCAAATTTTTCTCTTACTCAATTCTCAAGCATTTTTTCATAATATCTGAAGAGCGAAAGGGTTGAGGTTGTGGTGGAGAATAACTCTGTGAGCTATAGTTTATCTCCACAGTATCATGTTAAGTTGCCACTTACAATGGAGTACGATAGATTGGTATCGTTTTTATGTAATAAAATGAGTGTGAGGAAACGTTCGGTGAACCTTAAAGTAATCGAAAGATATCCGTATTCCCTCACTCCGCAAGGGGTTGCTTGTTACACTGAGTTTAACATCGACGATGATGAAACTTTGAGGTATTTTTTGAGGACTCCGGATGAATACTGGGAATTTCTTGTGATAAAAATATTGGAAATGTACGTCAAGGTCGTAGACGTTCGCAATAATGGGGTTGTGCATAGTAGGGATAACCCTCAATCATCGGGTGGTTATTCTGGAGCAGTTTTTGCCGTACAGGTTCTGGATGAAAGAGTTTGCCCTGATTTAAACTTATCAACACCGGCGAATGAGGAGCGAGGAAATAATTTCTCTCCTGCTTTACATAATCCACAAGACGAGTGGTAAACTTCAATTTTCCTTTGTGTTACGATGTATATTTTTGTTTTATTGAATTTGTATTAACGCTCACATATTCCACAGGGGGTACCTGCCAGATATGACTTTTACAAGTTATGAACCCATGGCCAGTTGGAATATGCGTAGTTATGGTGTGTTGGATCATGGTGGTCCACCAACAGGATAATATCCATCAAGGAATGTTAACACATTACGACTTGTAAATGAAGTGATACAGCTATATGAAAAGTATTTATTAATTTCAGTAATGATTTTTATTTTGTTGTTTGTGCAGTGAAAACGAGCAAGTTGAAGCACCTGTCCTGACTCAATTGCCCGAAGATAACATATTAAATCGGGATCTGGCATATGTATAGAGTGAGGAAGAGAACAGTGATTATGACAACAATGCCGATGATTCCGGAGAAGACACACCCTTCCCTTGTGAGGATGGTGATGAGGAGGAAGATAATGAAGGACCTGATTTGATGAAGGAGCATGCTCCACCCCTAGTTAGACCAAGAGTGTACGAGTCCCAAGTGCCGTTTCATTCAAGGAAGATTCCCTACCTTGATCATTTGCCAAGTATGCCGGATGTGGATGCTCTAACAAGGGATTTTGATAAAATTCGAACAACAATGTGAGATGATTCTAGACCAACGGTGCTGGCAAAGGGCATGCTTTTTTCTGATGAAAATGTATAGCGTAAAAGAGTGTCGTGAGATGACGGTATGTAAGTCAAGTCCGGATGTATACAAGGTTGTTTGCCGCAGATGGTTTACGGGTTGTCATTGGATGTTACGTGCGAGCAAGAAGAACACAGGTCTGTGGAAAGTGGGTAAATATATTCCCACCCACAGATGTGAAATGGACACATTCAATGGGAATCACTACAACTTGGATATTTACTTGATTTCTCTTGTCCTTATTCCACACATTGAAGCGTCCATAAGGTATAAAATCAAAGAGTGCATTACATCAGTCCACCGGGAATATGGCCATACCATTACCAAAAGAAAGGCATTTCTCGGGCGCAAACGTGCATTTGAAATTATTTTTGGTAACTGGGATAAGTCATTTGCAGCTCTACCCAGGTACATGGTCGCACTGCAGTACTTTAACCCCAGAACGGTTGTTGAATGGAAGCTTGAGAGGAGTCCGGGAAGACCAGAATATATATTCAATTATGTGTTCTAGGCATTTAAACCAGCAATTGATGGTTTTTCACATTGCCGGCCAGTAATATCCATAGACGACACTCATATCTATGGAAAGTATGATATCAAGCTATTGATCGTCGTTGCAGTAGATGCTAATGGACAAATATTTCCTCTAGCTTTTTCTATTTGTGCGAATGAAAGCCAAGAGACGTGGACGTTGTTTTTGAACCATTTGAAAGAGCACGTTGTCAAACAGCATTCAGGTATTTGTCTAATATATGATCGGCATGGTGGTATCATAAGTTTTGTACAGAATTTGCCTACATGGCAAGAACCTTATGCCTACCACCATTACTGTGTGAGGCACCTGAAGGCCAATTTCCAGAAGGCACATCCCAACAAAGATCTGCATGATTTGATGTGGATGGCAGCAACAGAACACCAAGAGCATAAATTTCGGAGGTACATGGAATCTATCAGGAAGGAAGACGAGAGAGCCTATGGTTGGTTGATGCAACATGAGTTTGACAAATGGACTTTGCATGCGGATAGTGGAAGAAGATGGGGAATTCTGACTACAAATATGTCAGAGTCTTTCAACGGGTTATTGAAGTCGGCTAAAAAATTGCCTGTCACTGCCATGGTGCACATGTCGTTCAAGCTGATGGCGGAGAGGTTTGTTGAAAGGGCTGCAACTGCAACGTCATTGATGGAAATGGGTATTGAATTTATGCCACTGCCGATGAATAGATTTGAGAAATAGAGGCGGCGCGCACATTGGAATTCATTTTTACAGTATGATCACGACAGAAATATTTTTGAAGTTCACACCGCTATCCATCAAAACTGGGGGAATAATGTACATACCATAAATGAATCTACAAGGTTATGCTCTTGTGGGAAATGGTCCATCTACCACATGCCGTTCTCACATGCCATCAGGTGCTTTCAACATGTTGGTTTAGGGCCAACCAACTACGTTGATAAATAATATAGTGTCGCTGCATACTTAAACACCTATAGTGGGCAGCTGCAGCCAGTGGGTGCTGAGAATTATTGGTCACCGGAACCATTTAAAATAGTGTGTAACAAGGAGTTTTTGCGTCGAATACAGGAGCAGAAGAGAAAGCGTATACGGAACCAAATGGATATTAGCGATACCGTTTATTCGCGCAAATGTGGTATATGCTCGCAAACAGGACATGACCGTCAAAAATGTCCTTCGGCTGGTTTGGGTGGCGGTGATAATCCAGCTCCTGGTGGGAGTTCTTCTAATGTGCCCAACTATCAAAGATACAAGTAGTAACTGGGTTTCGTAATGTAGTTGTAATAAGTGTATGTACTTGTTTATGTTGCAAAATGTATCAAATAAAATTTTGTTTTCATTGTTATTAAATCTTATTGATAATGGTCCATTTTTCATTTGTGTAAATTAATGAATTTCTCCCTCCCGTTCATATAATCAAAAATAGTATT